GGAGAGGGTTGGCCCTTGGAGCGCTGGCACCGCATTGCTTCCATGGAGGGGACAGCAGTGCTTGGCCAGGGGAGGCACTGCCTTGCTGGGGCAGGGGTGGCCAGGCTGAGCCCTGCAGCCCCTTGTGCACAAAGCTGGCACCCTGTGTGCTGCTACAGGGCAGGATGAGGATGAAAACCTTGGCCCTGACTCCACAACAAGGTGCTGCCTGGCTGCCAGGAGCGCTTCCTCTGCTGGAAGAAGGTGTGTGCCAGCAGTGGAAAATCCAAGTCCCTTCCTGCAGAGTTGATCCCTGGAGCTGCAGAGCTGCAGTGTCCTGAGGGCTGCTCTCCTTGAGCAGCAGTGATTGCCTCCCCCTCCCTGCACTCAGGGAGGATGCAAGGAGGATGCTCAGGGCAATGGGGGCAAAAAGGGGATGTGCTGGGGGCTTGGAACGGTGTCTGTGGGCACAATGGACATACAGCACATCCTAGGGCAGGGTGGCTGGCTGGGTCCTGGAGCACAGAGCCATGTGATGGCATGTCACCAAGTCCCTCCTGGGGCTGTCCTCATGTGTAACAGGACCGTGTGTCCCCTCAGGAGCAAAAGGCCCCCCTGCCCCTTGCTGCGGGGCCCTGACCCTGTTTGCCTTCACCATTTGTCCTCCTGCGCAGAGCCCGTAAATCACACTGCAGGGGGGCGAGGGCCGAGTCAGGGAACTGTGGGGCTGGGGGTGTGCAGCCTGCGGGTCCGGGGGCTGCTTTGGGCTTCCACATAGACACAAGTACATTTCCTTTGCTAGCTCCACGTTCACAGCTCCTCACTGAGCTGGGGACCGTGAGGCCCACCCCAATTCTCTGGGGCACAGACCAGAGTTCATCTTCTGCAAATGGTCCCTTGAGCAGAGCTGGAGACAGACAGTCCCTGGGCACGAGGTGCAAGGAGCAAGCAGGTGCCTGCAGCCAGTGGAGCAGTGGATGGTCCCCAAGGGGGACACAGCCTCATGCAAAGGGGGATGCTGAGCTGGCTGCTGGAGGGGAGCAGGGGGAAGGCAGCCCCTGTGCACCCTGCTGGGTGCGAGCCGGGGCCCCCCGCCCCAGCACTGACAGGCAGCAAGACGGATGGCAGCGGCTGTGTACTCAGGTGCGGCCGCCACACATGGCCACCAGCTGACGGGGATGAGTGGGGGGGAGCCCAAGGCTCCCAGCCCTGCTGGGTTGCATGGGGGTGCTGGCATGCCTGGGGACACGACCATGCATGGGGTGCTGGTGTGCATGTGTGTGCACATGTGTGCACGTGTGCAGTGGGGGGGGCTGTGGGGAGCAGCGGATGCTGCTGAAGCATGGGGACGTGAGGCAGCTGCCTGGCTTTCCTGTGCTGCCCAGCCAGTGTGCAGGACAGGACGTGTGTCCCCGTGTATGGCATGCTGTGTGCCGTAGCTGAGCACAATGCAAAGAGGGGCTACAATGGGGAGCTGGCATTCCCCAGGGCTGGGTTTTCCCCCTGTGTGCTGGGAAATGTCCCCTGCCCTCCCACACTGGAGAGCATTTATCTGAGAGGTGATACTTAAGTGTAAGAAAATAAACAGAGAGCAGATGGCACGGGGGGCCGGATCTGCTCCCTGCCACTCTGTGCTGCTCCAGTCCTGCTGGGAAAACACTGCTTCTTGCGAGGCAAATGGATTCCAGACCCCACGGCTGTGCAGAGCATGTGGCTGCCAGGACAAAGAGTGACCCTGCCTGGGGCTGGGCAAAGCAGTGCCAGCCTGACCTAACAATCCTGTGCCATCCCCATGCCATGCCATTCCAGCCTATCCCATCTCACTCCATCCCTCTGCAAGCCAAGGGAATGCTGACTCTACTTGCAAATGTGGGGAGACCTGTGCTATCAGTAGCTGCCTCTGGTCTGTACCTGAGTGACTGGGATGGGGACAGTGGGGTGGGGATGCTGGGATGGGACTGATGGCAGCGGTCCTGGCAGGACCCTGTGCCGGTGGCTGTGCCCGGGGCATTGCGGGCCCCTCACAGGGCTGTACCTGTGGGCCGATCTGGAAAGCATTACACGGCTGTCGTGTGGGGAAGTCTGTCCCAGTTCCGGAGCTGGGACCCTCCCAGCCAGCCCAGACGGAGCGGGAGGGAGCCCACAAAGCGCCTTTGTTCCTGATCTGGAACGAATGGATTGGAGGCAGCTGAGATCGGCTGTCAGCCGGCGACACCGGAGACCCTGCAGGTCAGGCAGAGGGAAGGGGGACAGGTGGAGGGATGGACGGATGGACGGATGGACGGATGGACAGACACAGGGATGGCTGGCTTTGGCAAGGCTCACCCCCATGCAGGTTGGGACCTGGAGGTGCTCCTGGCGCTGTGTGTCCCCCCGGGAACACGGGGCATGCAGAGCCCTGCAGAGATCCCCATGCTTGTGACGCGGCCTGGGGCTTGGCAAACCCCCCCTCCCTGCCCCGGGGTCCCATTTCTGTGTGCGAGGTGATCTGTATTGCCGAAGGAGCTGCTACCTCATCCCTCCCCCCGTGCTCTACGGAGAGGAAACTTTTTAGCACGCCACAATTCTTCGCAGAAATTTACGGCCCATGAGGGAGCCGTGCAGCAGGGCCGCTCTCTCCGCGCACGCTCGCAGGGTTTCCTCCCGGCGGAGGCAGCTTTGATGCGACGCATGCAGCTCGGCTGTGCACACCCCCAGCCCCTGCCCTGGCAGCCCCCGGCCCAGCCGGCCCTTCCTGCGGAAACGCAGTGGAAGCAAAGCGTGCCCCAGCAGCAGGCAGCACCGTGCGTGCTGCTGTGCAAAGGGATGGCTGCAAACCCCCTGCAGAGCTGCCCGTGCCCTCCTCCAAGCTCCCAACCCCGGCCCATTTCTGCCCTTGAAGGACAGGATCCAGCTGGCATGGAGTGTGGCCAGCAGGCAGAGTGTCCGGACGCAGTTCCTGTCCCAGTCCTGCTGCTGACTCACAGTGTGATGGGGTGAGTCAGTGGCCTTTCCCCTCCCCGGTTCCTGGCTCAGAGGGATGCCGGATAGCTGTGGGATGCTCAGTGTGGTTTTTCCAGTTTGCACATGGGGTGAAGACGTGGCATTTGCAGAGCTGATAGCATCCCAGCATGGCGCAACTGCTCTCAGAAGCAGAGTCGAGTCAACCCTAGGGTGGCAAGGACTGACCCCGTATTTGTCCCCATCAGAGCACCCAACTCCCAGCACAGTGCCTGTCTGCTGACACAGCGTTGGGTACCAGCACAGTGTCCATCCCCACCCCACATGTCCCTGTGCCCCATCTCACAGCTGCTCCCAGCCCCTGCCACTCCCAGCACCAGCACACGGACCAGGGGGTTTGGTCACCTTTATTCCCAGAGCAGCAGTGGGTGTCCCCTGGAGACAACCGCATGGAGAAGGGGCTGTGGGATGCATCTGAGGATGGAGCAGGCAGCTCTGGAGCAGGCACAGCCCAGAGTGAGCCTGGAGTGGTGTTGGGAAGGCTGGGGGTGGTGAGTGTCCTGGTACAGGTTTGTCCTGGTTTGTGTGTCCCAGTTCGGCGGTGCCCTGGTTCAGCAGTGCCACGCTTTGGTTTTGTCCTGTCCCAGTTCCACGTGCCCCAGCTCGACCCAATCCCTCCCGGTTCAGAGATGTTCCGGCCCAGCTGTGCTCAGTGGGTGTCGCTCTGGTTCGGTGCCGCGCCGGTTTGGGGGTTTCCCAGTTTGGAGATATCCTGGTTCGCAACGTCCCGGCTCGCGATGTCCCGGTTCGGAGACGTCTCGGTTCGCGATGTCCCGGTCCGATCCCTCCCCGCCCCGTTCCCGCGGCACACGGTCGCCACCTCCCGGCCGCGAGTGACACCCACCGGCACCGGGACCCCCCCGCGACCCCATCCCAACCGCAGCGCCGGGGGCGGGCGCGGTGTTCGGCTGAGCCCCGGGGCGGAAGGAGGGGTCCGCCTCAGCGCAGTTCGGGCGTAGAGGAGCCCAGGTAGGTGCGGAGGTCGCTGAGCGTGGACGGGATGATCTTGGCGGGGATGGTGTCCCGCTGCAGCTCACGGTGCGCCGCGTAGCGGTGACACCCACCGAAGGAGTAGAAGTAATCCCCGCCCTGGTTGCCCTTGATCCATAGCACGTCAATGGGGGGGACCTGCTCGGGGTCCTCCTGGGGGGAGAGAGGGCGAAGGAGAGAAGGATGGAGAGAGCCGCGGTGCTGCGCGCTTCTTCGGCTGTGCCCCGGCAGCCCCGAACCGGGGAGGCCCGAACCCGCGCTGTCCCGACCCCCGAACCCTCCCGGCACCCCGGGTCCCATCGGCACCCCCGACCCTCCGCGCCTCATGGAACCCGGCACCCCCGACCCCAGGCACTCCCGGCACCTATGACCCCCCCGGCCCCGCACAGCCCCAACACCCCGGGCTCCCCGGCACCCCGAACTCCTCGGCACATCCGACCCAGCACCTGTGACTTTTCCGGCACCCCCAACCTTCCGGCACCCCGGAGCCCTCGATACATCCGACCCCGCCGTCTCCGCACCCCCCTTGTCCCCGCACCCACCTGCAGGGTCCGCACCAAACTCCGCACTTTCTCCGGCTCCAGCACGGAGGGGATGGGCCGGATCAGGACGCTCATGGGCACGTTGTGTACGGCGGCGATGTGCTGCGTGTGGATACTCGCGGTGCCACCGTTCCCCTCTTCCTCAGCCATGGCCACCGCCGCCACCTCCGGCCGTCGCTCCGCCGCTCCTCGCCCCGCACCTCCCGCCCCCGCCCCGCGCAGCGCCGCTCCCCGCAGCGCCGCCCGCCCTCCGCCCGCCGCCATCGCCGTGCTTTGCAGCGTCACGGTGAGACCGCGGAAAGGGTTGGTTGGCCCCGAGGTCCGAGGGCGAAGGTGCCCGGGTCCGTGCACTGAGAATCGGAGAACGGGGGGTCACGGCCTGGAGCTGCGTGGAACCGACACGGATGGAACGGGGTGGAGGGGTAGGGGGGGGGGGGGGGGAGGCGGGGGGGGGGGGGGGGGGGGGGGGGAGGGGGGGTTCAGCCCTGGGTCCGTCTTCATGGAGCTGTGGGATATCCCGGATTAGAAGGAATAGAGGTCACTGGGTCTGGCTCCAGGCTGGGATGGATGTTCTGGGACATTTCTGGCTCATTTCTTGGAATCAGTGTCCCCAGTGGTGGAGAAGTACTGGGAAAGAGTTTGGGTCCCCCACGCCCCTTGTTCTGAGCCCCCCACAGCCCTACCCCGACCCCTGTACACCCCCTGCCCCAGCTGCACGGTTCTCTATCCCCAGTGCTGACTCAGGGTCACATCCCACGGCCAGCATCTCACGCAGTGCTGGGTGACCCCTCTGCCCTTCACTGGTGACGGTGAGGATGAGGAAGGACCTCACAGCAGAACCCCATTGGTGGATTCGGGATGCAACACCCAGTGATCCCAGCTGGGCAGTCCATAGGATCCCCACCCCACTACTGGGACTCTGCACTTTGCTTTGCTTTCAGGTCAGTGCTCTGCTGCTCCCCCTGGTGCTTTTTGCAAGCCAGGTGCAGCACTGCGAGCGGGATCCAGTGCCGTTAATGGGGTGCAGTGCCGTTAATGGGGTGCAGTGCTGTTAATGGGGCACAGTGCCGTTAATGGGGTGCAGTGCCGTTAATGGGGTGCAGTTCTATTAATGGGACACAGTGCCGTTAATGGGGCGCAGTGCCATTAATGAGGCGCAGTGCTGTTAATGGGGCACAGTGCCGTTAATGGGGCACAGTGCTGTTAATGGGGTGCAGTGCCGTTAATGGGGTGCAGTGCTGTTAATGGGGCGCAGTGCTGTTAATGGGGTGCAGTGCCATTAATGGGGTGCAGTGCTGTTAATGGGGCACAGTGCTGTTAATGGGGCGCAGTGCCGCTATTGGGGCGCAGCACCATTTGCAAAGCTTGCACTGCAGGTGCCACCGCTCCCCTTTGAGGATGTACACAGAGCACCTGCTGCCCACCCACCCACCTCCATGTGCACAAAGAGCCCAAGACACAGCTGGTAGTGGCAGAAGTCCCTTTTATATCCCTGAATTGCATTACAAGTAATACTGCGGGCGGTCGGTTCTCCTCTTACCGCGGCCTGTCCAATACAAAACCTGGCAGAAAAAGAAAAGCGATCATGCACGGAAAAAATTATTGCTGTGGTATCCGCTATGTACAGTATAACACACGGGGCAGCCCAGCCCCGCACGCCGCGCTGCCCGAGGGGACGCACGAAAAATGCTGCAGCTCGGGCTGCCCACGGAGCTCAAAGTGACCCTGGGAGCCACGGGCACGGCGGGAGGAAGACTGCGGTGGGAGGAAGACGGAGCAGGAAGACTGCAAAGGGAGAGCCGGGCTGAGCCCCTGGGTGCCGAGGCCCGAGGTAGGAGCGGCTCGCTGCGGGGCAGGGGTTGCATAGAATCGCTGCTTCGTCCCTGTGCAGGGAGCAGAGCGGGAGCTGGCGGTGTGGGGTTCTGTCTCTTGGGGCCTTGTCCCCATCCGTGTCCCCGTAGCTGTGTCCCGGGCACGGCGATCCGCCTCCGGTCTTGGCAAATAAATAGTGAAAAGCAGAAGGAATAAATAATATAAATAAGAGCATCAATTAAATAGACTCACCCGGGCTCTGTGGCACCACCAACCCCCTCCTGGGGTGTGTGGGGGTGAGGGCAGAGGGGCCTGGGGTTGGCCAGGGGGGAGAGGGGATGGAAGCAGCCCAACAGGGGCTGAGGGTGCGGGTTCTGCCCCAGGGGCTGTGCCCACGTGGGTGGGGGCAGCAGGGCGGATGGGGTCCGTCAGTCCTGCCTGGCTCTTCGCCCCATGGTCCTGTCCTTGCTACGGACCAGGTGAGTGTCTTTTCTCCCCGGCAGTTCCTGGGAGGAGAAGCAGCAGCTCTAAATAAATAATAGGAATAAATTAAATAAATAGGGGTGAGCATCGCGAGCTGGGGAAGGTCTGGCCCGGGTGCAGGCGGTGCTCCCGGGGCAGTCCCTGCAGAGAGACCTGCCTGGCTGCGGGGACTGCGTCCAGCCCTTCCCGGGGGCCGGGGGCTCCTTTTTATTTAGGGGGTGAGAGATGTGGGAAGCATCCTCCAGCCCCGTAGCGGCAACTGGCACCAGGATGGGGAGGGGTAGAGGTGGTGGGGGGGTGCGGTGGGGGCGAGGGGGGGAGGGCACGGGGACTAGTTCCCTATTGCACAGCTGTGTTCGGAGCCCTTGAAGCAGGCGGACTCGTAGTGCTTGTTGAGGTACGACTTGAGGGCGAAGGTCTTCTCGCACTGCTTGCACTTGTAGTGCTTGAAGGCGGAGTGGGTCTGCATGTGGGCGCGCAGGTTGGAGCGGTCGGCGAAGGCCTTGCCACAGTGAGAGCAACCAAAGGGCTTCTCCCCGGTGTGCGAACGCATGTGGCCCTGCAGCAGCCAGGGCCGGCTGAAGGCTTTGCCGCAGACGTCGCACTTGTGCTTGAGGTTGTGGGTGAGGACGTGCATGGCCAGGGCGGGCATGGAGACGTACGCCTTGCCGCAGGTCGGGCATTTCCTGGCCATCTTGCTGTCCAGGCTACGGTGGGTCTGCTTGTGCCGGCTGAGGTTGGAGGAGGTGGCGTAGGTCTTGCCGCACTCGGGGCAGGAGTGGCGGTGGCTGCCGCGGCGCTGGCTCTCCCCGCGTCGACGCGACCTCCCGTCGGTGATGAAGAAGGCGTCCATGGAGTAGCTGTCCGTCACCGCTGCCTCCCCGTTGAAGTAGCGGGCGGAGAAGGTGGACTGGGGGCTCTCGGGGTCGCTGTACTCCTCCTGGCCGGGCGCGTAGGCCGGGTCTGGCGGTGCTGGCGGCAGCCCCTGCTTCTTGTCGGGGTTGTAGCCAGCAGGTGCCAGGCAGTGCTGCAGGTACCCTGCGGGGACGACACAAGGGTCATCCTCCTCTGGGTTGGGCTCTGCCCGGCAGTGAGCTGAAAACACCCAGCTGTCACTGGCCCTGCACATCGGAGCTGCCTCATGTGCACAAGGGATGAGCTGCCCTGGGTGCCGGCCTGATGGGAGGCAGAGGTTGATAGAGCTCTGCTCCTATCCCCATCTCCCTATTTCTAGGAATGGGTTGAGAGGGCAGAGATGAGAACAAAAGGGCTCGGAGAGGTCACCCCATCTCTCTCAGGAATGTGGCACGTGGGGACTGGTGACACCAGGGACACTGGGCTCACACTGAGGGTAGAGAACCATGGGCGCCAGGAGCAGAGGGTGCTCATGGCCATGCTGGCAGTTCCACCCTGTGTGACACTGATGCAGATCTGCTCATGGCTTTGGGTAATTGACTCTTGACCTGTGCCAGAGCAATGCCACGAATGCCTCCATCCCTCTGCTGCCAGCATGCGATGGTCACTGCACTGCGTGCTCCCAGTGCCTCCCAGCTGGGCCAGCAGCTCGGGGCACACACAGTGGGACACGTGGCCACGCAGGCTGCCCTACACCAGTCCTGGCAGTCACCTGCCTTGTGCACAATGGCCCCTGCCAGCTGCTCCAGAGGACGCATCCCTGCTGCTGATGGTGATGATGGGGGCTGTTGGGGGGCTCAGCACACTGCCAGGCTCACCGGCACTGATGCATGACTGTGGGGCCATATGCACACTCCACGCCACAAAATACCCCTAAATGCAGCCCCCCTCCCACCTTTGGGACCCCCTCATCTGGGCTGCCCGGGGCGTGCTGCAGCTGCGGGGCCCCCACGCTTTGTCCTATTGATGCTGGGGGGTCCCTGCACTGCTGTGGGGAGGGGTCTGCGAGGCTGGGGCACGGTGCAGCCCCCCCGCTGCCCGCGCTGTGCTGACAGTGCGGTCGCACGGGCTGTGCAGAAAGCGCTCTGCTCAGCAATTTCTCACGCTGCCTCCGAGCATGCAGCAAGGTTATTTCCAGGAGAGCAGCGTCGGCAGCTTCTGCCCAGCTGCAGTGCATCCCTCCCCCACCAGCTGCTGCTCCCCATAGGATGGGGAGGAGAAGGGGACCCCCAGGTTGTGTGGGCATTGCCCCGTGCCCCCTGTGCTGGGCAGCAGAAATGAGGACACGCAGAGCAGCGTTGGCTGCATGGGGCTGGATCGGGCCCATCGCTGCACCCAGCGCAGCCTGCGGCTCCAGGAGCAGCCGAGCCGTGACCTGGGAAAAACGTCCCCATCGCCGTCCCCTTTCATGGCACATCCCCGGCTCGCCCCGTCGGGGGTCTCTGCTGAGCGCAGGTGACCTGCACAGAGCCCGGCCCGGTGTCATCCCGAAGCTCGTGGCTCTGGGGGCCCCGTCACCCTCATGCCCACCCTTCGTACCTCTCTTAGTGCCAGGAAGGGGGCTGCCCCCACCCTCCCTCCATTGTGCCCGGGGTGGTGACAGCGCGCGCGGAGCTGTCGGAGGGGAGCGGGGCTGCGAACAATGAAAGCCGCAGGCACGGCGAGCAGCCCGGCCCCCCCCCCCCCCTCCTCGCTCCCGGCTGCTTCGTGCCCCCCAAAACTTGCGCTGGAAGGAGCCCTCCTCGCTGCCCCCAACCGCGGGGAGAGCGGGGTCCGCCGTGACTCCATCACCTGCACTGCCGCTGTCACCGCGTCCCCAAGGACCAACTTCGGCAGGGGTTGGTGGCGCTGGGGAGGAGGGAGGGGGGACCCACAAAGGCGAACAAGGACGGGACCCGCGGGACGCAGCGTTGAGACCCCCCCGCCGCCCTCTTCCTGCCCTCCCCGAGCCCCCCGGCCCGACTCCCTCTGTACCCCCGTTCCCCCCCGCTGCCCCGTCGGGCGCACACAATAGGGGTGTGGGGGGGGCGTTCCCCGGAGCCCCCCGCCCCGCACTCACCATCTCCGGCAGCTGGGCCGGGCAGCGCGTAGGGGGGCTCCAGGGGTGCGTAGGGGGGCGCGGGGGCCCCGGCGAGAGGGAACGCGTCCGCCTTCAGCTTCTTCACCAGGAAGGAGCGGGGCATGGCGGGGCCGGGCCGGAGCCTTCAGCACTGGACAGCTCCAGCACCGGCACCGGCCCCGGTACCGGCACTGGCCCGGCCCGGGGCGGCCCCCGGCCCCGCGCTGCGCTCCGGGCCGGTGGTGCGGGCTGCGAGGAGCGGGGAGCGGAGTGCGAGGGGCGGGCGCCGGGGAGGAGGAGGAGAGGAGGCTGAGGAGGAGGAGGAGGAGAGGAGGAGGGGGGGGGGGGGGAGGGGGGGGCCCCGCTCCGCCCGGCCGCGCCCCGAGCCCCCCCTCCCCGAGCCCCCCGGAGCGTCGTGGCAGTGTTGGGCCCTCGCTCCCTGCTTCCTTGTCCCCCAACCCCCCCCCCCCCCCCCCAGCCGCGGACAATGGGGACACGCGGGGACATGGGGGGGCGGAAGGGGGGTGGGGTGGGGGTGTGCTGCCTCCTGCTGCCTTTGTCTCCCTGCCGCCAGCCCCCGGGGCTGTGAATGACGGGGCGGGGGTCCAGGCGCTGTCACTGTTCTCATTCTCTGTCCCGGTTCCATCCCCTATCTCCATCCCTGTTCCTTGTTCCTAACCCCATTCCGTGTCCCACTCTGTTGTCTTTATCTCTGCCTCTTGTCCCTTTCCGATGACCCCTTTATTTTTCCCTTGTTTCTTCCCTTATTCTACATCCCCATTCCTGCTCCCTGTTCCCAGCCCTTCCCGTCCCGTCTGTCCCTTTCCCCTGTCACCACCCCTCTTCTCTTGTCCCTTTCCCCACCTTCTGTCCTTCTCCCATGTCCCTATCCCTATCTGTGTCCCAGGGGAAGAGCCGTGACCTTCACAGCCCACAACAATAGCCGGGCTCGTGGCGGTGCATTGTTCCCTCCCGGAGCCCCCACTCCCCCTCCTCCCTTCCCTGCACTGAGCACGCGGCACAGCCGCTCACACTGGTTCCCCCAGCCCCCCCCGGAACAGGATGAGGCCCTTCTTGCAGGCAGGCCGTGGTTCCAAGCTGGCAGGTGACAGTGAGGACCTGGCTGGAGCACTTCTGCTGCCCATCACTGCTCTCGCTGCATGGCCAGTGCCCTGTAAAATGAGCTGGGAGCCACAGTGGGAGCTCTGGAGCAAGACCTTGTGCCAGCTGGGGGTGACAAAGGGCTTATGGGGTACAGCGAGCTGGGGGATCCAGCACAAAGGACCTGCTCCCTGTGAGTCCCTGCCCTGCCACCAGCTTGGAACCTCAGCCTGCCCTGCCTTGCTCTGCAGTCCCCTTGAAGCTGGTGCTCCCCCAGTTCCACTGTGAGCATCCCCCTCCTCTGTGGGCAGCTGGGGAAAGGCCATGCTGTCCCTGAGCCCTGTGCTGCACCAAGAGCATTGCAGCACTCAGCCCCGCGCAGCCCACCAGTGGTGGTCAGTGTGGGGTTCTGGCGGGGCCCTTTGTCTGGGCACACAGTGTCACACGCAGGGGACAAGAGCAGCACCCTGTGGTGGCACCCCAATCCTAATGCTGCCCGTGGCATGCTGGTGGCCATGTGCTTCTTAATCTGTGCTGGGAGCTGGGGGCATCTCTGCTCTGCATCTGTGTGGGGCCAGTGAGCGGACATTCGCTGCTTTGTGTGGCATCCCATAGCCAAGGGAATGTTCCACAGCACCCCACATCCTAGGATATCCCCTAACCTGGGTTATTCCAAGTTCTATAGCACCCCACAGCCCATGTTACACCACAGCCTGGAGCACCCTATGTTCTATAGCATCCCATAACCCAGGGCACCCTATAGGCTGGGGTACCCATAGCCCACAGCATCCTGTAGCCTAGGACACCCCACAACCCCAGGTACCCCACGTCCTATAGCATCCCATAGCCCATCTCATGCCATAGCCCTGGGTTCCCATAGCCCACAGCATCCCATAGCCCAGTGCACCTCTCATCCTAGGGGCACCCCACAGCCCGCCCCACTCCTGTTCCCAGGCTGGGGCTCCCACCCCGCTCCCCCCTTAGCACTGGGGCTCACTCCCCATCAGCATCACTGGGGCCGTGAGCACCAACCCCATCTGGCCCTACGGTGCAACCCTGACATCAGTCCAAGTCCAAGGTCACCTCTCCTTGAGGTGCAGCCTTGGGGTCGGCCCCAGCATCTCCTCCATCCCTGGGCCGCCGGCTCCCAGCCCTGTGCTCCTTTATTTATTTATCTGTGTGTGTGCGATCACTTTTCTTGAAGGCACGTTTGCAGAACGGACGATTACTTACGCCCTAGTTGGGCCGAGCTTGCCTGCCTGCCCGCTGCCCTGTGATTTTTTCTCTCTCCAGGCTGTGGTGTAATAAGGGAGGTAATTAAGTGTAAAAGACAGGGGGAGGGAGGGCTGGGAGAGGGGGAATAGGAACTGGCTCCTTTCAGAGGCAGGGGACTGAGATAATGTATGTTAATAACCTGCAATCAGTCCTGCGGAGCTGTGCTAATATTGCTGACTGCAGCGCGGCTGGGCCCCCCCCCAAACCTGCCCCCACCACGGCGGGGAGGGGGAGAGCCAGAAGAAAGGCCCGGGCGTTCTCCCGGAGCGAGGCTGGGTGATGGCTGCATCCCCATCCCTGCCTTCCCGAGCAGCTGTATGGAAATAATTCCTGCTCGCTCGCAGGGCTCGAAGGCGATTGTTCCCCTGTGCCGTGCTGGGGAGGGAGGGAGGGGTTGGCGGGGCTGTACAGGGCGAGGGTCTTCGGGGACCTGTGCGTCTGGGATGGGCAGGAGGGTCCTCATGTAGGGCGTGGGGGGGGGGGGGTGGTGGTGAAGGGCTGCGTCCCTTTAGCTCGCGGTCTCATTGCAAGGAATGTGGGATGCGCCCTGCTCTTGGGATGGGATAAGTCCTCCACGGTGCCCCCGCATCCACCGCTGCTCCTCAGCCCCCAGCTCTGCCCCTCTCCCCACGCTCCTCCTGCAAACGGGGGGATGCGCGGTGCTCAGCTCAGGCCGTGGGACCCGTGCGGGGCGGTGGGCGATTAGCAATTCCAGCCGCGTCCTTCCCGCAGGCGGCCGGGACGCAGCCGGGGCCGGGGGCTCCTCGGCTCTGCTTCGTTAAGGCACAGCAGAGCGGGTCTGTCGCTGCTGCTCCCGAGGGGAGCAGATTGCCAGACAAAGAGCCGGGGACAAAGGCCCGGCTGCCTCGTGCCCCGGGGAAGAGGCGCAGGCGCGTGCGGCGACCGAGCGCTGCTCCGCCTGGGGGCTGACGCTGCTCCCCGGACCCCCCCGGACCTCCTGTTGGCACAGCCGAGGTGCAGTCGGGTACCAGGTGGCACAGTTCTGCCACCCCGTGCCGTGTGACAGCCTTGTGTTGCTGTTCATGGCACGGCTGTGGGCACGGGGCGTGCTGCAGCTCTGTGCCCCCCCCAGGTACAGCCAGACTGAGCGGGGGCTGCTGTGGGGCACAGGGCAGTGGGGAGAGAGCAGAAAGCATTGCCAGAGCCTCAGAAGGGCTCCCTGGGAAGGTTACCCCCATCTCACTGGGCTGCATCTCCTTCTGCTGCTGCTTTTCCAGGAGGGACCTTTGTCACCACAATCTGAATATGGCTGCAGCCCCCCATGTCCCAGGGCAGTCATTGCTCTCCACTGTGGCATGGGCACGAGAATGAGAACAGGAATGAGAACACAAACACTGCTCCCAGGGGTGCTGAGCCCCCGGTGCAGTGGGGCGAGGTGGAAAGCAGCAGGTCTGGGCACAGGCCAAAGGGCTGAGCAAACTCCTTCTATTTGTTTGAACACAAGAGGAACACCGTGCTCATACTGGGCACTGCAGGCTGCAGTAGTCGGCGGATTGGAAGAAACCATAAATGTTGACGAGGGGGAACATGAGCAGGGCACCCAGCAGGGATCCCAGCTGCTCCAGTGCCCCGTACCACACCAGTGCACTGTGGCTGCGGCTCCGCAGGATGACCCCGGCCATCACCTTCACATAGGAGAGTGTTCCGGTGAAGAGCACCCAGGAGAGGATCTGGTGGCACAGGAGAAAGCGGTCAGTGGGGACCCTGAGACCTCTCCTGAGGTCTGAGGGACCAAAAGACTTACAATGATGGCGTTGCCCCACTGGGAATGCTGCAGGAGAGGGCACGGGCTCATCACTGCTATGGCCATGTTGTAGGCACCGAAGCCTGTACCCGCCAGGCTGAGGATGCCCATCAGGACCAGGGACCTGCAAGGAACAGTTAGGTGACACCAGTCAGCACTGCCACCCCAGCACAGGGAGAGGCACAGCCCCACAGCAGGCTCAATGCTGGCCCCACTGTCCTTCCTGAGTGCCTCTGACGCCAGGGTATGAGCACCAAGAGGACACCCACCACCCCAAAATGGGGCTGTTTTGGGTCTCCCATACCTACCTGCTGGGCAGGACCATGGCCACGATGCAGGCGAGAGGGTTGGCCATGGAGCTGAGCGTGGCCGAGAGGTGATATGCGGTGTTGCCATATGGCAGGCAAGAGTAGGACTGCACAGATGGCAGGACTCCGTTTGTCAGAGAGCTCACCCAAGTGATAAGCAAGTAGATGAAAGCAAGCTTGGCCACAGAATAGGAGACCTTCTCTGGGTGGGTCTCCATGGGCCGCTTGGTGCTCTTTGGGCATGAGTAGCCTTTGCCTCGTCCCTTGCCAGCATCATCCTCAAGGATCTGGTCAAAGGAGTTCAGTATGATGGTGCTGGGACACAACTGCTGCTGTGAGAGCTCCCATACCTTGGGCTGCCTTGTCAGGAAGAAGAAAGCCACCAAGCAGACTACCATCATCGCAGTCATGAGGAGGAAGAAGATGAGGGTAGAGAAGCGGGCTGGGAGGTAGTGGGTCTCCATCTGGAAGATAGTGCCCTCCATGGTCTCGTTGCCAGAGGTGATGTTGACCACCTGGCTGACATTGGCACAGCTGGAGATGCCGGAGCCCTGGCCCAGGGCGATGAGAGCAGGGATCAGCCCGCTGAGTCCTTCACCTATGAAGTAGGTGGTGAGGTATTGGGCCTGCAGCTGCATCATGAAGGGCAGGAAGGTGACGGAGGAAGTGCAGTCA